AAGTTGACCATTGACCATTGACCAGTGTTGACCTATATTGACTTGTTAAGGGGTAGTCAAACTTAGTTGGGAAAGTGTTAATTAGAGATGTATTGTGTTATAGGAGGACTATAGCTCGGGAGATCGAGCACTAGTGATTTCAGGGACTTACGAATTACCGAGACACGCGAGGTGAGTCTTCTCACTATACTTTACCTTGAGTGGGTAACCAGAGTTATGTGACAAAGTATTTGTATGCTATGTATGTTATGTGTTGTAGTGCATCATTTCTATGTGATTTATGATGTGCATGTTTACAGAGTTAGAACCTGAGGGTTCGCAGAGTTTGGGTGCACGGACCCACAGAGTTATAGCCTCGAGTGGCTAATATGTGTTATATGTGTTATTTTGGGGAACTCACTAAGCTTTGTGCTTACAGTGTTTGATGTTATTTGTTGCAGGTACTAGTGACGACCGCGGGAAGGCACCGGCTTGATCAGTACACACGCATGGAATTTATGATTTTGAGATCTTGGGATTTTGTATTACTTGGATTGAACGATTGAAAATGGTTGTTTTCTGAATATTAAATGAATTATGTTTTATAAAAATTTGAAAATTTTGTTTTGAAATTTACGGTGTTACATAAGGGATTGTATAGTCCTCTATTTTAGATATCGTGCGGACAATCTCATGGAACATAGTCATACTTATTTTCCAGCAGTTTGTTTCTTGATCTCAGATTCATTTGACATAGAACTTAATTGAACACATCAATTTAGTCCTGACTGGGCCCGACACATAAGTCAAATCAAATCATCGAGGGGCCTTGATATCGCTTTTACCCTCTTAGGATAAAATGAACAGATAAACTTCGACATATATGCATTTACTATTCACTAATCAAATTATACACAACAATGCGTTTTATGACATCAAGTTACTAAAGGGTTTTCACATTATCAATGCACAATCAATTAGCAAACAACAAACCATATATCTTGGTTTTAAGACCATATGATATTATCATCTTGCGATCACTCGTGATAAATTCCTTGAAGTGACTCCAACAAGCGCGGGTTCATTCCAATGCACAAAACTTATTGATAAGTAGTCATGAACGTTGTAACAAACCTTTTTTATGTCTAATACCTTTCAGACAATCTACACACCAATTCATGACAGTCTTCATTCATACCTACTTCCAACATATGAACGACTGTGGACCGTTTGAATAATTCGATTATTCTTAATTAACTCAATTATTCAAGAAGTCAAAACATGCAAAGCAAAATAATAGTTAAACAATCAACATAAGACAGTGACTATACTTATAAATAATACTCATTTATTTAATCATTAAATGTCAATTACATTTATCTATTACAAGTTTCTTGTAACGCCCGCATTTCCAGGCTAGGCATTATTGTTGATGTAATAGTCTAGGTTAACCTTTGTAACTCTTTTTGAAGTAATGAAGATGAATTATTTGAGTATTATGTGAATTATATGCTTAATTAATTGTTTATAAAGATATAATTAAATTACGGATAAAATAAGCATCAAAATTTAAGTGTGAGATAAATCCGATATTTTTACACAAAGTTGTAGTGGTCGAAACCAGGATTCCGGAGATATAATGAATGCCGAAATCCGATTTATAACGAAGAAGTATGATCTGTCGAAGTTTCGCGACAGAACCGGTAGGACGCTGAATGACGTAAAACATGAAATTAAAATAGAGAGATATCTAGCCTTAGTGAAGTAAACGAAAGTGGTAGAGTTCGTTAAACCGAGAGCGTGCATAAAAAACGCCAAAATCTGACTTCGTATGAGGAAATTATGATTTTTCCGAAGTTTTGACTTAGTAGTATGCAGCCCGAATCCTCAATTTGAGATCGAGTGATTTTTAGCCGAAACAATCTAAACGAGAATTGAACATCTCGTTAATAGTAGTAAACGATAAAAAGATAGGCAAAAACGGACGTCAGATGAAGAAGTTATGAATTTATAACGGAGTTTTCATGTCCCGGCCTACTAAAAATAACAAAAAAGTAATATATTTATAATATATTAAAAATAAAATCAAAATTAGCTAACAGAGTCTAAATGAGAGTTGTAGAGCGTATACTCACCTACGCGTCGATATAAAGAACGTCGAAAACGGAGTTCGTATGCGAAAGTTATAAATTTATGAAATTTGTCAGACCCACTTGCAATGACGCATGCAGTGACGACCCAGCCACCACGACATGGTAAACCGTACCACGACGTGGAAAAGGTAAATTTTGCCCTATAAATAGATTTGAAGGGCCAATCGAGTTTGGTTGCTCAAATTCTCTCCTCTCACTTATACTACCTCGATTTACGTGCAAAGAAGTACCCCCCCGAAGCCCCGTTATCATCCCGAGACCCGAAGCAAGTCCCGAAGCTTGATGATCCTGCGAAGAAAAGAGTTTCTGAGCCGAAGCTCTGCCCGCAAGAAGCCCGGTGAGTGAAGTGAACACAGTTTCATCGAAGAATACTACTTCTACTAGTCGTAGTGCTGTCTAATCATCTTCTGATCAAGTGAGTGTGTAGTCACTTTCTTCTAACGCATAATTAAGAAGTATTTTATACTAAATACATGTTATGTGTATATTTTTTTTGTTATATGTGTGAATGTATATTCACTTTCTTCTATCTCATAGATATGATTTATTCTCTATGAAATACGTGTTATGTGTATGTGCCTCATATGTTGTTTGGAATATGTATTGAATGAGAATTCTATACAGGTTTTAAACTATGCATAAAAATATATATTTTTATCTACTAATATGTTGGGTAGCACATGGGTAGATAGTTGATGTGTGATAAACAGATGAGAGGCCTCGATGTTGTTTTTAATTCAGTCATCTAGCGGAGTTTAGATGACGACCACAGACTTTTCTAGACAGTCTTGTGGAACGCTAGCAGGTTCGCCACCTGTAAGTGTTAATGAACTTGGGTGTTCATTCACTATACTCCATCCCCCTCATGGTTGCCTTATTTGACATATATTGCTGGGAAACCCCCGAATGCATATGTTGTCGCCCCGATTAAATATTCTTAGACTAGGTCCCTAGTGTTAGTTGTCTTAGGGACGTAAAGTAAGAATAATGGGAATGAGTATTTGGGTTATTGTTGGTTGATGAAATTAAATTAATTATTTATTGTGGGTTGAAAACCCTATATGCTCACCAGGCTCCCAAGCCTGACCCACTCAATTTTCTTTGTATTACAGGTAGTGGTGCCAGAGCATAAGTTGGATGACTTGTCAAGTTATTTTTGGATTATAGACCTGTTGTTGTAAACAATTGTTGTAAGGTCTGTATTGAAATGTTTATGCTTTTGGTCTGTTTATCGGAACATGACATCCCGAGTATTGTAATACAATGAAAAATACATTTCTTTAAGAAATGCTTTGGTAAATCTTATCTTTATCATATTTTGTTTTGGGAACAAATTCCGCAACTCTTTTAATCAAAGGATTACTCTGAAATCATTTTAAAAGCATAAATTAAACAGGTCTTTTCTGACCGTGATTTTGGGGATGTTACAGTTGGTATCAGAGCATTAGTTTAAGCGAACTAGGAATTGTGGGATTTCTAAACTTAAACTTAGAATGCCAAGTGAAATTATGATGTGTGTCTGTTATATTTTAGACACGAGCACTAGCTTATTTTAAGAAAGTTGCCTAAAATGCTTTTATGTGCTAAATGTTATATGTTTGCCATATATGATATTATTTGTTCGGATCTATGGTCTGGTGCCGATCGGATCTTGAAACCTTATGTGAGTAGGATTCTAAGCGTATGTATACGATATTAGAAATAACATGTAGTTGTTTGGAGTGATAAGGATGATTTGAATATCTATCGTGAATGAGGATCTAATTTCACCTTATTTGGTGTATAGATCAAAAATGGTGAGAACGAGGAGTGGAGTTGGAAATGCTGATGAAAACAAGAATCAAATACACGATACAACAAGTAGTTGTTGCAGCAGCAGCACCTGAGCCGATGACTATGGCTAGTGTGCAAATGATGATTCAAACTATGTTGGATCGCCAAATGGAAGAAACGAGGCATCTGCTTTGACAGAATCATGAAGAACTGTCAATTCATGTGGAAGAGCCCGAAGTTAATGTTGGGCAGTCTGAAGGAGAGAACTTCAGTGGGATGATTGGTCAAGACAACCCACCGATAGTTCGACAAAACAACCAAGGTGGAGGACATAATGGAATGGGATGCAAGTACAAGGACTTTTTGACTTGCAAACCATCGTCCTTCACTAGAAAGGAGGACCCGATCAGAGTGATGGATTGGATCTCCGAAATGGAGTTAGCCTTCATGACTTGTGGCTGGAGAGGCAAGTTGCAGACTACCTTTGCAGTGCGTCGGTTCTGAGGTGGATCCATTCCAGATAATAACTTTATAGACAAGATGGAGTTTGCTTTGCAGACAAGATGGAGTCTGCTTTGCGCATCGTTCCAGATAAGCTGACAAAAGTAGACCGGTACGCAAAGGGGCTCCCATGAGAGTACGCAGTGCCAGTGCGTCAGGCACCTACTCTAGAGGCAGCTATTTGGGCTGCCAAGTCTGTTGAGGACATGATCAAGGGAAGAATTGCCAGCATGGTTGAAGTTGGCTAGAAGAGAATGTTTGAAGGAACTTCATGTTCCAATAAAAAAGGAAAATTTTCGAAGTCTGATTCGAAAAAGTTAGGAGGAAAAGGAGGCGAAGCGAGATGGTGTGAGAAGTGAAATAAAAAGCACTTTGGGAAATGTAGTGAGGATGTAACTTGCTACAAGTGTGAAAAAATTGGGAATTTTGCCAATGAGTGTTGGTCCAACAAAAGGATGTGCTTTGGTTGTAACGAGGAAGGGCACATTTTTAAAGACTGTCCGAAGAAGAAGGAGGCAGCTAAGACCAACATTCCACTAAAACCGAAGGCGAGAGCCTTTCAGATGACACTTGAGGCTGCGAAAGTTGAAGTTGATGTCGCTTCAGGTACCTTTCTCGTAAACGAATTGCCTGCTCAAATTTTATTTGATTCTGGAGCCAACTATTCCTTTATTTCGCATGAATTTGTTAGAAAACTAGCTTTGCCTGTTGATAGACTATATAACGCCTTATTAGTCAAAGTTGCTAGTGGCAAGTTTGTACCTGTTAGCCATTGCATGATAAATATTTTCATTGACTTGAATAGGAATAAGTTCCACGAGGAATTATTGCCTATAGAACTAAATGGTTTTGACATCGTTCTAGGAATGGGTTGGCTTACCGCCAATGATGCCGAAATATTGTGCAGAAAGAAGATAGTAAAAGTAAACCCACTAGGGAAAGATTCATTTATGGTGTACGAGGACAAACGCCGAGTAAATCACTACTAGAAAACAGCCCTTTAATGGCGTGCAAATAATGACACTCGCTGATAGAGGACGTGTATTTATGCGTACCCTAAAAAAAATGTTAGTTTTGCAAAATTTCAAGGATAGAGAACACGCATTTGTGCGTGCCTTAAAATTAGTGTCCAAGAAAAAAATTAAAAACACGGAGAGCACCTATCATAAAAAGTGCGTCGTGTAAATGTGTCGCTTTATATTTTTTTAAGGAAGGCGTGATCTCTGATTTTTAATAGCCCATGGAGGGGGGGGGGGGGATGAAATACCAAAAAAATTAAACACCCAGCCTCTAAAATCCTTTACCAAAAAACCCTAATAATCCTTTAAGCAGTTCGTCTTCCTCTACCTCTGCACTCAATCTCTCTATCTCTCTCTCTCTCTCTCTCTCTCTCTCTCTCTTTCTCTCTCTCCTTTGGAATCAGATTCTTGAAAGATCCTAACCCTAATCGTAGCCCTAACTACGACATGTCTTACCAACCGTGATCTTCAAATCAAAACGAAAGCGACGACCACCACGACAACCGTCGGCTATACAACCCTTACCAAGATCTTATAGAATCCCCACACAAACCCTATATAAACTTCCCACATCTCCTGAATACATCTTTCAAGAGGAATCCATTGCTCAACGGTGTTCATGGGGCGAAAACCTGACATACTACATCGGCATCGGTTACCTCAACGACGCAATAGTTGGCGCCCGGAAAGGTTTAGTAGAGGGCGTGAAGGCTTCTGAGGCTAGAGACACTATGAAACTTAGGGTTAATCGGAATGAAATGCATGGTGGCTGGATTAGCGACTGGAGCGTGGTGGCTGGCTTAGCGACTGGAGTGCTTTACAAGACGGAGGCGGGGGCTGTTGCCGGAGCTATTGGTTGAATAGCGGTGGGATTAGCCGTGATGGGGAAGCAGATTTTGAAGAGATACATACCAATCTGAGCTCGATCTGTATTCAATTTCATCTTACTAAAAGTTTTGGTATTTTGAGATCTCTAAAGGTGATTCATCTGTAGTCTTTTACAATATTTTAGTATTTTACAATATTTAAGATGATTGACATAATTTTGCATGGAATGAAATGTGTGATTGTTTCTCTTCAGGCAGCAGCAAGTTATTGGCCAATTGAAATAATGAGAAATGTGTTGTATTTCAAAATTCCATTTTCGCCCTCGGGAGTATATAATTGGATGCATCAATTGAAAACTGGAGGTGGGAAGATTTTAGTTTCTTGTTCTAAATCTTTAGTCATTTGGGGTGACCTGCCTGGGAAGGATAAGTTGGGTAAGTGTTTTTGTGAGAATGGTGATGTGACCATTTTGCCCTTATTTGAGAATTGGATGTTTAGTTAACTAATTTCTACAAATTCTGACAAGGGTAAGAGTTCTTTGATAACTAAATTCAATTAACTAATTTCTACCCTTTTGGTAACATATTTACTATCTCCTATCAGGCCTCATCTGATATGAGTGTAATTGATTTTGACACACCGTTTGCGTTTGTGTATTCGATTGCTGCTGGTATTGAATTACTTGTTATGATTTTTATTATGGCCTTAGTGACATGGCAAGTTCTCATTGTATCCATCTTTGGTATCGTAGCTTCAAAATACGTTCAGGTGAATACACATGCTATAGGAGCTTTTACTTAGACACTTTAATTATATGTTACATAGACACTTTAATTATATGGTTTATAGTGCTTTCAATGCACATGCTATAGGAGCTGTTGCGGATGTTGCAGGTGCTGGTCTAAATGTCCATCTTTCAATAGTTCTTCCTGCTTTGCTCTCTGCCATGGGAAATGATGAGAAATAAATGTTTTATCAGACAACTATACACGTGGTAGAAATCTAGAGCAAAGAACAACAAAATGGAAATGGAAAAGACTTTGAACCAGTTGAGTTCAATGAGAACTTGGGAGAGGAAGATTATCTAATTCTTTGTTTTAATAAATATATGCAAGCTTATTGATTTTTCATACATTCCCACTGTCATTTATTGATTCCTTCTTCTACACGATGTCTAATAAAGTGATATTTTATGTCGATATGTCGAGATCTACCATGATCTCTCAGTTCCTTGGTCAAGGCAACTGCTCATTTATTATCACAAAAAATTTGCGTAGGCTCTTTTATGGCAGGTACAACTCCAAGATCTCCAATGAAGTTCTTCAACCATATCGCCTCCTTTGACGCTTCGCTCGTTGCAATGTACTTTGATTCGCACGTTGAATCAACTACGGTTTCTTGCTTCGAACTTTTCCAACCCACTACTCCTCCATTAAGGTAAAGACCCAACCCGACTGTGAACGATAAGTGTCCCTGTCGGTCTCGAAACTGGCGTCACTCTACCCTCGCACCTTTAAGTCATCACTCCCTCCGAGGACTAGAAACCATTCCTTTATCCTCCGAAGGTACTTAAGAATATTCTTGACTGCGGTCCAATGTGCTTTGCCAGGGTTCCCTTGATATCTACTGACCATGCTCAAAGCGAAGGCCACATCAGGGCGAGTACAAGTCATAACATACATGATCAAGCCAACTGTGGAAGCGTAAGGAACTCAGCTCATCTCTGTTATCTTGGCTTCGGTGCTCGGACTTTGAGTCTTACTCAACTTGGCATTACTTTGGATTGGTAATTCTCCCTTCTTTCCATACTAAAACGTTTTAGTACCTTGTCCAAGTAAGTATTCTGACTAAGTCCTATTAGTCTCTTACTTTGGTCTCTCACTATCCTCATTCCTAAAATATAGGAAGCCTCTCCGAGGTCCTTCATAGCGAAGCACTTCCCGAACCAGGACTTAACTTCCTGCAGTGTCGGGATGTCGTTTCCTATGAGTAGTATGTCATCGACATACAATACAAGGAAGCTAACTATACTCCCACTGACTTTGACATATACACACGATTCATCTTCGCTTCGTACAAAGATTCTCATCGAAGCAAAGATTCCATCTACGAGATGCTTGCTTAAGTCCATAAATGGACTTCTCAAGCTTTCACACGCTATTAGGATTCTTCGCATTGACAAAACCCTCTGGTTTAGTCATGTAAACATCCTCAACCAACTTCCCATTAAGGAAAGCGGTTTTGACATCCATTTTCCATATTTCATAATCATGAAATGCAACAATGGCTAGCATCACCCTAATAAACTTTATTTTGGCAACTGGTGAGAAGGTCTCATCATAGTCAACTCTGGGAGTTTGAGTAAAGCCCTTCACAACCAATCGTGTCTTATACGTGTGCACATTCCCATCCATGTCGGTCTTCTTCTTGAAGATCCACTTGCACCCAACCGTCTTACGTCCGGGCACATGGTCAACCAAATTCCAAACTTGGTTGTCGTACATGGATTGAATCTCGCTGTCCTTCGCCTCTTTCCATTTTGCAGACTCCGGGTTTGCCATGACTTCCTTATAGCTGTTAGGTTCATTTAGATTTATTAGTGTACTATCACTAATATATGTATCCCCTTCTGTAGTAATATGAAAACTAACCCCTTTATATTTTCTAATTATATGTTAAATTTGAAGTTATAATAACTTTAAAATTTTGATATATCTCTTAATTAATAATTTATTTATAATGATTTATTTAAAATAATCGATTAATAATTATAATTTTTTATTATAAAAGTTTAATTAATTTTATAACTCGTGGTTCCCACGGGATATAAACTAGTTAATTAATGAATTCATAAAAATGATACTATTATTGATAGTACTCTTCAAATTTAAATGGTAAAAAATATCATAAATATTATTTGTTCTTATAAATATCACAAAATATATGCTTAAAAATATACAATCATCTTCTGATAAGGTAAATATTTATATTTATAGAAAATTGTATTGTCACGAGTTCTTCGGTTTTTTGTGGTTTTGCTAGACTAGAAACCGTACCGCACCGAACATTTTCGGTTTTTGCAACTAAAAACTGCACCGTCGGTTTTCATTTCGGTTTATGCGGTTTTTCGGTTTGCGGTTCGGCTTTAGCTCACCCTTAACAATCTCTGATACCATTAAAAAATTGATTACTCCAAAACTTGAATTCATTCGATCAATTGGGGTGTTTAAATACAAAGCTAAGAAAAGATATGGAAAACATAAAAAAAATTGATTACTCCAAAACTTGGTGAGGGGCATGGTAAACATACAAATCTGGAGATAGATAGACTTCCACGTTCCAACTCATCTACATATCCCATAAATTGCGTGTATATATATATATATATATATATATATATATATATATATATATATATATATATATATATATATATATATATATATATATATATATATATATATATATATCACGTTATTCTCCCTTTTACAAATCTAATAGGTGAGCTTCCACCATCATCTAAGCAATCAACTGGCATCCAAATTACAAACCTGCATGATCCATGTAAAAAAGAAGTTATATATGAAACTGATCATTCGCCATTTAAGATTAGGGGATATATAAGATACTAACACCTATATATATATATATATATATAGTACAATACGTCAAAGTAAAGCAACAAAGACAACCCCACCACAATCATATATGCAAGGACTATTATTGCTTACAAAAAGCACTGTCTCTATCAAATTGCATAGCCATATATACAAGGACTATTATAACCAACACATCTTTAATAGTACATTAAATATGTCGAAAGTGAAAGCGAGTTTGTTTTAATTATTTATTTATTTAAAGAATACTTCTAACTATTATTTGTGTAGAACACATGCAACACTTGGACTTTCATCATTGTTTGCTTTTCAAAAAATTTATGATTTAAAAATTGTTGTGCATAGCAGTACTTTTTATTTTTAAGGGATTTCACACTTTACTTTAAATTATATTATTCGATTTGTTTAAAAATTTCAACATGCATTTTATTTTAATAATAATATGAAGGATATTTTAAATAATTCAAGTATTTTTTCTTAAAGAAATCAAAGTATATTTTATATAATTCAAAACCATTTCGGTAAATTTCATATAAATAATTATTTTTTTGTTAAATTGTCTTTAGCCGAATATTAATAAATTATAAAGTTAATAACTAAAATTATCAAATATATTGAAGCTAACCGAAGAAATAACCATCCTCTTGTAAAATTTAATAAAAATGAACATATTGTTTGTAAAATTAATAATTTATTTATTATTATTTATTATTATTATTTTTAATAATCATATCATCATGACGTTTATATGCAATTTGTATATGACTAAAACTAAATAAAAATTTGATTTATAATTATTTTTAACTATTGAATGATTAATTTCATTTTATTTAAGTAGTTCGAAAGCCTTAAAAAACAAACATAATTTTTATTACAATTTGCAAACGTTTGGTCTACATCTTTTGTTGCAAAGGGTTGTAGATACGATACAATGTCTATAGATGTTTTAGCTTTAACACCACGTGAATCATATAATCAGATAATCACTTCGATCTACATACCAAAAGCAATAAAAGTTTATTTATTTATTTATTTATTTATTTGTATAAAGGGATTGTTGAGTAACAATTTATGGACCATTTGTGTACGTACGTAGTTTGCCTTTAATTTTCACATGACAACAACACACATCACATATAGAAAGACACAAAGTGACTTATTTGCATAATAGTAGGACACATTTACATTTTGGGTGCATCGATCATCCATCCCCCACCCTATATATAATACATGCACCCACGGACCACGGTTGTAGGTTCACCCTTGGACCATATAACATGCCTACGTCATATAGGTTTTTCATTTATGCATGCTACTCAATCATCCTTCCGTTTTGAACTTTTTGATTTAAGATCAAACACCGTCTTTTGAATCTGTTCATTCGTCACAGGTTCTGAAGTCTGATCAGCTTTTCT